GCGTTTTAAATCCTTTCGCTAATGCGAAGGACTGGCACACGGAGCCGGAAAAACTCGGAGCGCATCTGAACAGAGGCTGCATATCTTTATAGTGTGGCTAAAGATTTTTTAGCTTACTCTAAGTTATATACAATCTCCGAACAGGCAAGTAGAGCTTCTGTAAGAGGTAGGACAGGGGTGTTTTGGTGTCGCACCTTCCCACGCTTAACACGAAAGACTCACGTATGTCCCTTAGATCGCTGTAATTTTACTATTTGAGGCTTGCGATAGATAGAGGTAGATCTAGCAAGCATACAAATATGTATTTATGTCTAAGAGCCTCCGTGGCTTGGGCGTAAGGTGCTTGGGCAGTGTTGGTGGTTCGTTGCGGAGGGATGTTCGACCCACAGGGATGGACGTTAGTTACTCCTTCTAATTTCTCGAATTTTTAAACTTATATCTAGGCAGAGATGGCAACAATTTACTTATATGCACTTAGTGTTCTTTGGAAGCGCTTAATCTTACCTGCACTTATATTGAGGACAAGGGTCCTGCATCAGAGTCTTAAGAAACTAAAATCAGTCTTAGTAAGTGGTGTGACAGTACTGACATCTGGATATGCTGACAAAAGAAAGAGAACACGCTTTTTGCGACCGCTGATGGGCAGATTGCCTGTTAGTGTACTCCTAACGAAGACGTTTACCAATTTTCCAGAGAATATGAAACTAGACGGCGCAAGAACATACAACTATTTAGAAACTGTGAGTAAAACCATCCATTTGGCTACTCGATATAGCATGTATTGCATGTTGCCAGTTGATAACTTCTAGTTAGTAAGATGGGGATTGTCACTCTCTTGAATAGTTTACTATTTAGACCAAATCAGCTATTGTAGATTAGTCCCTGTCTGGGGCTGTAAATCTGTTTTGTTAATCTGAGTTTTCTATGTAGTTATCTAATATGACTTAGACATCGATCGTTCTGTATTAAGACTTATTTGAACGATTAACTATAGCAGAGCCAAGGCATATCACTCGGGTTGCCTCTTATCAAGGCCAAAGTAGCACACATGTTCAACGCACTGTCTTTACTAACTAGATAACGACTCCGTATGTTGTACGTACACACACTAATAATTCACACTATGCAGAAAGATCGGATATAATTTATCTAACTCGAAGCAAATGTGTATGCAGCTTTTATAGTGTTCCTGAATCTAGAAATGAGGTCACGTTTATCTATGACTGTATCGTAGGTATAAGAGCGAGACTTCCTACTACTAACCAAAAGTTGTTTTACAGTATTCTAAGCGCTAAAGCATTTCCAATCTCGATAAGCCCTTATTTTTGAGCTTTTTTACTAGTCTCATGGCGCATAATACCAGAAAAAATCTTTGTTTACTCTGCGGTAAACGCCGATCTAGAGGCGCCCAATACGTTCAAGATGTTGAAGTCTGTTCAAGAAAGACTTGTGCCAAAACTCAACGCCTACTAGAGATAGCTTTAAGGGACAGCAGTAGCCCAGTTATTCATGTCCATAACTACTACTATGCTAGTTGTGCAAGCAAGGATATATCTAGTTGTGTACACTATATTTGTGACTTTTATGCCAAGGAAGCTCCCAATATTGAAGCGCTCACCGAACTGCCTGAGAATATTGTAAGGCCGCGTCCCGAAGCACATCGATACTAGGACTGCTAAGTGTAGATAGTATGACTTTTAAATGGATATTCCCTCAATTTACCTCTTGGCAAGCATCATGATAAAGGTTATAAGTAAGGCTTGCAAGTGCCTAATAATCACCATTTATGTGCAAACTACATCTAACCAGATACACATAACAGAGTTTCTCACAATCCTCTTATATCTATATTACAAGATCGACAAATTACATTAAGCTGTATTGTTTTCCCATTCAGTAATGCCCTTCACTCGAAAAGCACTTTGTATCGATCTTACCACTGAGGCAGAACACTGCGCTATATGCTCAAAAATACTTGAAGCAGGTAGCGAAAAAGCCAGTCTTGTGTATGTTTTAAAGGATTGTCGTTGTGTAAGTCTATTGCGATTCATGTTAAGTTATGTTGCTAATAGTGAGAAGGTTATTTGTGGCCTTTGTGTCCAGTTTCCGGGTGTGCCACCCTTTCTTCCTTGCCAGCATGCCGACCATATGGACTTTGGGTGGCAGAGACCGCTACGGCTCTACAATCTAAAATGTGCTATCTGCTTAGACGCTGGAAGTTCCATTCGTATTGCTCTAGTTTGCGGTAGGTTGACATTATGTAATCAAGATAGTGAATTAACTAACAATTAAGGCCACGTGTATTGCCGAGTCTGCATTTTAACGTGGGTAAGCTCTCCTAGAGAGTCAAACAAAAACTATGTAGCTTGTCCAATCTGTAGGAACAGCATGACTAAGGTCGGGCGATTACTGTCACATGATCAAATTGTTGTACCCGCTCAACGAGGTGTTGAGATTGTATCACCATGCATTAGTCCATAGACGTGTGACTAGATAGGTTCTCTCGCAATTGATCGACCTTTTTTTCTGGGTAACTTTGATTGGAGCGGCTACTCGATTCCGTAGCGGGCCGGTTGCGTTGACTTAATAGCCGGTAATATCTCTCGTCATCCGAGCTCTTCCGTGGTATTCTCTTAATTGTAACTTGAGCAGTCGTCGGGCTAGGCACTAGGAAGATATGGCATGCTATTTAGTCCTTTAGATCCGCTGCTGTTCTGAGTTTGATCCAGAATTCATTCCAAAACATCAAAGCTCACAATGACGACTACTGCACCCTATTATGGAGAGTACCTGCTCGTATTGTCTGGGTCGGTTGAGTGTGCCCCGTTCTTGGAAAACTGGAAAACTCTTAAAGATAGCGTGCGAAAACATGTCGGAAATCCGGGGTGGACAGATGTGAGCAAGACGTCACACAGAGGAATACGACGGGCATGGTGCAATCTATCGATAGAGGGTAAGGCGAAAACTGCATACAGTACGCATCACCATCCGCAAATCGAAGAATAAGTACTCACATAAAGCGCTCTAGGATACTATTCGAAGATGCCAGGAGTAGGAGTGTGCTTGATGAAGAGGACATCAAATGGCGAATACCTGCTGCTTCACTACAACTGCGCCGTCCCCTTCCCTGCTGCGTCTCAGTGTAACCACAATCCCTGTGGTCGGCAGGAAAACTGCCAAAGGCTCCTGCCTAATAAGGCAGTTCTACCCTGTAACATGACCTTGCTTTTTGTACCTCACAACATGATGCAACTAAAGGGTTATTGTCTCTTACCCTTACGATATTACCCCTTGTGTATAACTAGCAGGTGTACATTTACCTAGCTTTGCTTGTGGCTTTGTAAACGTGCCACTCCCATTTTCATAGAGGGTTATTATGCTATGATGTAAAGAAGCATTCTTAGCCATTTATAGCATCTACCATCATAATCATATCTATAGTGACATCATAGCCTGCTATTTGGAATGTTTGTATTCGACAAAGGGACAACCCCGCACTACGAGCAATGAGTCACAGGCAATAGCTGAGTTCATATATACGCCACACGTTCCATTGTTACACTCACTAAATAATATCTCAGTCATATTTTTGATTGCGTATGTCTATATAGACCTGTCAGAGTCGACTTTTTTGACCAGATATCGTCACGGGCTCTATACATTACTGTCAAATAAGTGACAGAATCTAGGTGTGATGGAGCACCTGGATTCTGTGATCCGGGCCGATCAGAGCCGAGTGCCAAGGCTCACCCCTAGGCAAGGCTGATACTTAGCCACCTATCTGAGACAAAAAAAGCAAATAGCGACTACGCTCATAAGGCGGCGCGCCTACGCGCCGCTGGAGCGCAAAACAGAACAATCAGATCAATTCTCCCATCAATTATCACAGTCTTTTATCACAGTGATCCAAACGTGTCCTTAATCAGAAAACCCCTCACAGTCTGACAATTACACACCTGTTATACGATGTATGTAGTGCGAATCCTCCTAGCATCCTTAGTGACTACAGCTCGAGCACACATGTCGTTGTGGTATCCGCCTCCTCTCGGTGGTAATAGAGAAGCCAACTCTTTCACAACACAGGTGGATAAGGGAGTTCAACTTTCCAATTGGATGCTGCAATTCTCAAGGAGAGCCAACACTGCCTTCCCCTGGCGATTGTCGTGGTCATCTTGCCCTTCTAGATACAGAGGAGGGCAGACCACAAGTCACATGGGAACCTGGCCAGGACGCTTACTTTAAGTTATCCGACTACATGTATAGTATCGGTGTTCCAGGATCAACTCACTACGGTGGAAGCTGCCAAATTGGATTCTCTGTGGATAAAGGTCAGACATGGAAAGTCGCGGCTTCATATCATGGGAACTGCCCTCACAGGGACAAAGACATGCCACAGGTGTTTGAATTCAAAGTCCCGCTAAACATACCAACAGGTATAGCAGTCTTTGCTTGGATCTGGTTGAACCGTGAGCATGAATTTTTCATGAACTGTGCAGCAGTTCAGATCAGTTCAGGTTCTAGCAGTGCCACCACGCGCACTTACACAAGCTTTAAAACTGTCCCTACAAAACCTTCTACTGCACTGTTAGATCCTAGTAACGAGTCACTAAGGGGAGGTGAGCAAGATAAATCTAGCGGCTGTGATGAAGACTCGATAGCCTACAGCAATTCGTACGGGGCAAAGCTGGCTAGAAGTGAATGGAGATATATCAAGAATCGTCATAGTAGGAAGCATTCTAGGCAAAACTACCATATTCACAAATCCAACGTCTTAGCATCGCCTAAAAAGCTCCATCGCAGGTCAGAAAACTTAGCTTCCGATGTTTGCGATTGGAACACCGCACCTAGGATGGAAACTAGCTACTATTCTGTAGATGCACAATGTGCACCTAACGCTAAACTAAACAACCTAAAGAGTGATGACTTTGAGATTGGCTGGGGCGATGCGTGCGGCGTCGTCGAGGGAGACAAAGTGTACACTATTCAGAACATCGAGTGTTAAGGTTAGAGTCCTAGCAGATTTGCGAAGATGCTGTCCTAGTCTTTTTGATCGCAAAAATGAGATTCACATAGTAGTTACAACTTAACTAAGTAATGGACCCTCTAAAATTATCGATACACGTATCGTTTAATTCTCTCCTGCGCCCCCTAGCCTATACCTTAATCAGAGACTTTATGTTATGATTTCAATCAGACTAATATACATAGAACACAACTGATGGCCTGTATTCGTACATATAAACAAAGAAAGCATAATCAATACAAAACAACCCTGCACAAGTAGCAGACGCAATACTTTCCAGTTTCGAGCACATCGCTGAGAAAGATGGCTATTCAAGACGGTTGTTGCACTTCTTGTGAATATGTTCGCAACTTTGTGCGGATAATATGGGACTTCAAGCTCCGTCGCGGTGAATGTTGATGGAGTAGATTGACATGCTGCAGCCGCAATGACACCGAACCGGTCAAGTACATAGTCAACTGGCAGATCAGATTGGGCAATTGTCTCATACTTCAGAGTGTATGCTCTGCGGCCTTTCCTTTCAAAGTCGGTTTTGCCTGTCCAAGCAATAAGGTGCTCCAAGTCGACCAGGTAGAAAGGATTCAATGTCTTTCTTAGAAAACGCCCTTCTGTAATCCTTCTCAAAAGTAGCTGGTTAAGCTTAACCCGGGCGTCTTCCCAGACAGGATTTCGAGAAGCAGCAGCTGCAAGTACATCACAGTACTTGAGTCCCATCGAAGCCCACTCGTAGTGTTGAACCTTATTCATACCCCAATATTGGGCTGTCTTAACAAGCGAAGCGAGACACTGCTTACTTGTTCTAATCTTGGATTGTGCCGTATTGACGAATTGCTCCCATTGCTTCGCATCAACGAGAGAATCTAGCTGCGGCTGTTCGTTCTTTCTATAACGGTAACACTCTTCTATCATAACCTCGTTCAGTTTTGTAAACAGCCAGTCAGCTTGTTTTTATTGCGAAAGCATCTCGTTGCGTATAGCCATGCATGCTTGGAATTTTTCATCTTCAGATAATATAGAGCGTAATGAGAACTGAAGTGCGCGGATGTTTGGTGAAGTAGGATTGAAGTCGAGTATATCGGTACTTTGAAGGCTTAGCGTTGAACAGATAATTCACTATAAGACCTACTTTTGCGTTGTCCTTTCCATCTTTTGCAAAGCTAAAAGCCAAATGATGGACTATTGTGCCCTCAAACAGCTTATATACCTTAGGGGCTATTGTTTTCAAGAGGTTACTAACCCTTGCTCATGATGTGTACGGGGATCAGGTGTTATTGGTAGTGCTACGCACGTGCCTCTCCATCATCTTATCGTGACGCTAGGAATGCGATAGCTGGCTGACCTACCTGCCGTCATATTATTGACATATAGCTACCCAATCTTTGCTTATAAGATCCTGAACTACCGAGCATATATACAACGCAATCTCAATATAGTGTCTTATATATGTAAACAGATGCTCTGATCTTTATGTAATCACTCCATCCAAAAAGGCTAACAAAGATGTCCAGGCTGTCGCCACTCACCGGTTAACTACAGCTTTCCGTTTTTCGAGATGTCCCCATTACCACAACTTCTGTATGACCAAAGGCTCGCCAATGATACCCGACAAGAAGATATTGCAAGTAGCGATGTGGAGAAAAGTATTACGTCTCTTGGATACCTTCTCTTTCTTTCGCCAATTCGGAGAAGAATCTTGGATAGTGTGTCCGCCTTCGACGCAGCAAAGTTAGTTAACTTGAAGTTGTGTATTTTGACTGCGAAGGAAAAAGAAAAATATCTTAAGCCGATCCGAGATTTAGTGTGGGATGTACCTGCGGTTGAAAGACTCTCACGAGAGGGCATGAAACTAATGTTGCTTGGAGACGGCGCTTATGCACTCGAGCAGCGATTGCACGCGACAGAACGTTACTTGAATTCTCATGGGAACGGAAGGCTCACAATCTACCTGTTGGGCACATTTCCAGTATTCACGCCGACAGCGACAACGCTCGACTCACTAGTCGAATTCAGCACTACAGGACATTCTAACCTTGTACGGTTTCACTGTGACAAGTATCAACTGGGCCGCGTTCGCGCTGTTTCAGACATAGATGCGAAGGGAGACTTTCTTATGAGTTTCAGTGTGCCAATGCAAGCGTCTATTAATCCTATCAAAGGATCTTGGTATAAGGTAGACGATGTTCCAGATCGTACGGTTGATTTGTGGGTGTATGTGCCTTCTTTGCGCGACCGTCTTTGCAAAGAAGTCAGGCTGACACCATTGGACGTGCTACGGATGGTGAGAGTAAACCCACTGTTCGTGTCACTACCACATTCTCCTCTAAAACCAACGTTCACTACGACGTGTATAAAAAGAAAGTTTCGCGATGCAGCACACAGCGCTTTGCTCAGTTCATTAGGTTTTATATTAACACTAAGACAGCTGTTTCATCTATATGCAGGACACTGTCGGTTAAGGAAATGGTTACTCACAGTTGCGGGTGTACAATCTTTGGAAGTAACTCACCCAGATCAGTTTTCAAGCGACGAATTTTCTGTGCGCCAGCTGGCCGCACACTACATAACATCTTCGTTAGGTGTTAATTCAGGCTCGCGCGCAGCGATCGATTTCACGCAAGTGCCGAATATACGGCTCTTCCTTGACGTAGCCAAATTTAGCACCTTTGGCGGGAGAATCGCTCTAAGCTAATCTTTGAGTCGATGTACCTATTCTTAGAACGCCCGTAATGTCACCTAGGAGCTGAAGGCAATTAAATAGAGCCACGTTAAATAAAGACGTGATATTTGAAGTTTAGTCCGTCACGACGTAACTAGAGTGTTTTTCGACTCATAACTAGTAATGGACGTAATAGGCTGAGCTCCGGGAAGCAAACGATAGGTAAATAGTCCAGAATATGATTACTTTGAGTGCGTATGTTACAAGTAACAAGTAGAATGATGTCGTCTCTTGAAGCTGACCGCAAATAGATAGAAACCACTTAGGATCCCGCTGGAGGCAGCGATTGTCGCAGCGTTAGGGATCACATGATTTGTCTCATGCTAAGACACCGTCATCAGTGATGGCACTCCTGATGTGATGGAAGGGCTATCACAGAAAGAACTCACTATCAGAGATACATAGCAAGACCGCGTGTTTGTGGTAGTACTAGATGCAACGGGGATAAAGGATGGATAGATTTCGCTATTACACTCGTTTGGGGCAATCCAGTGATGCTTTCTTATAAGTTCTTTTGAGTATCTTAAGAATACTACTTCTATTTATCTCGTCTGGCGCGTGACGGCAAAACAATCGCTTCTGATCCAGCTAGTTATACATAAGAACTCATTTCGGCGCTTCTATAGAACCGAAGGGCCCAAAACTACCTCTCATGTTACAACCTAGTATCACCTTATTAACGTGTCCTGCTAAGGAAAAGCCGCTTTAAGCCTCCTGGGCTGTAATTTATATGGGGTCCTTAGATTTGAGGGCGAGTTACGATGCTGTTTGTATGTAGTTATACAAGAAATTATATTCGATAGAGAGCTATAGTCTTGGCTATAGAGCTATCTATATACAAAGTATATTGCCTAAGCAACAATTAGACTAGGCAGGTGGGTAAGCGAGGTCGTAGACGAGAAGAAGCGGCGAAGGCCGTTCAGCCCGTTACAATGAATGTTAAATGCGAACTAGTTAAAGAGTCTAACTGTAGTTCTATCGAAGTCTAGACTACTTGCTTAGCCGTTCTGAACACCCTAAGGATAAATGCATGGTGTTTAATTAGTAGTCCGCGTGCATAAATTGAAGTCCGTCTTAAAGTGCATATAGAAATAGAGCAGACCTCAGAAGGTCAGGTTTTTAAATATATAATGCAGGACAGAATGCATCCTTTACTAGTCAAGTCTACAGCTTAGTATTAAACATTTACCTAACCTCAATATGCGGTATCAACACTGGTGTTTTACAAGCGCATTATTGGGTAATGTCTTCGCCCAATCGACAATGTTAATAGATATTCAGCATAACCGTGTTGAGCAAGCTGATTGCCCGCGAAGGGTAAGCAAAACATTAGGCGCTTAGAATCAAAGTTAACGGCTAGGCGAAGTTACACTTTTGTTCAAAGACAGCATGGAGCGAATGTGCTGCACCAATCATATCATCCGACCGCTGCGTAGCCGCCGACAGGCTTAATAATGTCGCGTCTATTGTAATCGACTTAGGTTTATGCTGCCAATTCTTTAGGTATGTCCGATCTTATGTTAAGTCTATAAGCAAGCCTCTAATCATTTAGTGATGATACATGTAATACGGTATATAAAGATGGAGAAGGAGAAGGGCAATGGTACCCCGGCCTAAAGGAGGTATCTGGTACTTTCAAAGAGCAAGTAGGCAGTTACATGTGCAGGAATGGGACTACTACATCGGTTTGCCCCGGGGAAGGTGCTGGAAACTTAGTGGCTTCTAAGAATGCGGCTACTCCCACTGCTGATTAGTACATTATCTAGAGTTCTCTTGCTTCTTTTTAAGTATTGTTCAATCCAAGCTCCTGTTAGTTTTTGAAAGTGGCCACTACTTCGATACTTACCCGTTATTAGCGCTGCGTCCTTGCTGCATGTTGCATATAAATACTATACATATGCCTATAAAAAAGCTCTTTTTATAGTTAAAAAGGATCTCTATGCCATCCTATTTGTCCTAACACATCTATAGTAACATCCTTGCCTTACTCTATATGATTCTTGATACGAGTTCTATACACGGATCGCAAGCATTACTAACTAGTTAGTTAGTTAACTCATCTAAGTTAAATAGCCTATGTACCTAGTTGCTCTTTTGCCTCGTTAAAGTTCGGCGGTTAACTTCTTTAAGTTGTTTTATATGCTTCTCCGCAGGAATGATGAGTGATATAATAGACTCTTATTAGGGATAAGCGCCTGAATCGCGAGGCATAGTAAGGGTAAGGCATGACAGACATGTTTTTGTTTTTTTGTAGAGTAACGGGATCAATGATATAGCAAATTGTATCTGACTAGTCCCATTTATGCAATTTCCTGCAATGCATTTGGAACATGCCTAATGGGCTAAGCTTAAGATCTTTTCCTCACACATAATCTTTCCTATTGTCTGAAAAATTAATCCATAAATCCTGTTGTCATTTTTTGTTAATACCTAAGTCTAATTAGCTACGTACTGTGGCATAACACGTGATCGAATTTGAGTCAACCAAGGGGGATAGTCACGAGAAGATGAAAACTCATTGCTGGTAGTGAGCTGAGTGAAAAAGGTACCTATTAACGCCGAAAAGAAATTTAGATATATGCTGACAATCTAGTCATATGCTACAACACTACAATATTAATAGTGCAGATTGCCTTGCATGGCATCTCGCTTTCTCAGGAAGAGATAAGCTAATAATCTAGTAAACGTTTGTGCTAGACGTTAAGCTTATTCTTCTACTTCTTAGCCTCTGCCTCGAGCGTATGCTGCAACCCTCGTACATAATCTATGAAGCTCCCAAACTCATTTGGCCTTGCTTCCTTTGGGGTATGGCCTTGAAGGTCTTGTATCACTCCTCGTACCTCAGCACTATTTGACATTACATTAGTGGTGTAGTCTTCGACTGTTTTGGATTGTTGTTCAAGATAGCCATTGATGCTGTGAATCGCCTGTTTTGCCTTTTCCTCGGAATCTATATCTTTCAACCCTTTGAAAACATTATTAACAATTTCTATGGCAAGTTCGAACTTAGTATGCGATAGGCTGACTAGCAGCGAGTGTTTTGCAGCCAGAGCATGTCCTTTATAAGTAGCCACCTCCTTCTTTGCCTCATTTGCAATCTTGATCTGTTCCTTCATCCTCTCTAAAGCCTTGATAGCGATCCTTTGATGCTTTTGAACCTCGTCTTTAAGTCGGACCTCGTTCGCAACAAGCTGCGCAATCTCAGCCTTATGGGTGGTGATAGTTTTGATGTATCCTTCATTCCGCTCCGTCTTCTGCAGGTTTGCTACCAATCTTTTTAGATTGAAAATAGTTTGCGTCTGGTTTGCATCCTGGCGCTTGTAGAAGTCATTTGAAGTTCGGAGATCTTCTGCTTTAGCAAGTGAATGCTGACATTCACGCTCAAGTTGTACTTCCCTCTCTATAGCCTTCTTGAGTTGCTCCTCTGTTTCTCGGCACTTTTGTAATTCCTCCTCCGCATTCTTGATCTTTGTTTGCAAACTTTCCCTTTCGTCCTTAGCCATGCGAAGAGCGCGTGCACTCTTTCCCGCCTTCGAGCGAAGCACGACGTTTGTCTCGGCAAGTTTGCGATTCAAATCGTTCTGAGTCTCGATCATTTTAGAAGATGTGATGCAAACCTTCTTTAGACGAGCTCTGTTATCCTCAAGAGTTTGCTTAAGGTTGTTTTTCTCGATTTCTTTCAACAAAACGGTAGATTCGATTTCCATGATCTTCTGCATAAGGTCCTTTTTCTGTTCGTCACTTGTATTGCTAGCCTTGAAGTTGGCGAAGGCATTGTGATGAAGATTCCTTGCGCTGGAACTGAGGTTTGCCGCTTCCTGGCTCCATTGGTGACCCGACCATCTTCCGGCGGCAATTTCCCGTTCATAATACTCGGTCGTCTCCCTACATGCTCGCATTGCTTGATCTGATTGGTGTTCGACATGAGCTATGTAACTTTGTAGAAAGTAGATATGATGGCTAAGATTGGTGATTGTCTCATTAGCCACGTATATTTGAAAAGCTTGGGCTTGCAATTCATATTGGTAAATGTCGTTCAGCGTACGCGCTTTGGAAAGTTGGTCCCGAGTTTCTTGAAGCTCGCCGAGAAGTTGATGACTTTGGTTCTGTAACTCTGCGTTCTCCCGATTCACAAACGCTATGATTTCTGCGGGCTCCATATTGAAAATCCTGCTCGTACTAGATCTAGTTGGGCAATGTATAGTCCTCGTTGTAGAACTTGGGATTTGTGGTTTTGCACGAGAGATAGAATGGGAAACACTTTAATCTATCTCAAATTCTTCCCGATTGTGTGGCGCAATAATCGGGAAGGTTAGAGCTAAACAGGGGGAAGTCAGGCAACTAATTTAGGCGTTGAGCCAGCGGTGAAAAGCTTGCATCGTACTCCTCGCCATTCAACGCCACGACGCCTGCAATATTTGACACATTTCCTGTTAGACATTAACTCAAATCACTTCTACTAAGTTGATTTAACCCGGCTCAGCCTACTGCTCCAGTGGCCGCCGAGGGGCAAAGCCTTGGAGAGCCGTCGACGTGTTCATACTGCCTAACCAACTAATATGCACAGACAACGAAAGCGGCAATTTTAACACTTGAAGTAGCTATCATACGCGCGTTCTTTAGCGTCTCGAGCTGGTAGCGGACCTCCTCTTCTTCATACTTCTTATCAGTGCTAAAAATACAGGAGTACTTGAAACTACAGCTTTGCGGAGATCATCTAACACCCTATTTTCATCTACAATATTAAGTAGACTAGTTCCCGCTAGTCTCTTCTTAATCCAGTACTGTGCAAGCCTCACAACTGCATGCTCCGGTAAGCCATGTCTAGACCTGTACTGGTGCAGCGTTACCTGGTCACTGCCTTGCGTGTTGTTGATTTCCGAAATGGGTGGAGGCTTAGCCTGAGCACTAGCGCAGTCGCCTATACCGTTAAACTGAGGTTTAAATTGCCCGGTCTCTTCGTACAAACTTAAGCTTAGAGAACAAATTGCCTTTGCGATCGCAGAGTTTGCTTCGCAAAGCTGGCGAATATCCACAAGCAGCGATTCAATAGGCGCCTGATTAATAGTTTGCAACGCAGCTTCGACGTCTTGAACGTTATTGGACATAGTAGTAAATGAGAATTTGAGGATCTTTTCTACGTCTGGTGAATGGAGAATCTTATATATACATACTTTCGAACTTAATAGATAGGTCGTGGTTAGTAAGGCGACAGCTAACTGAGGCATACACAAAATCAAACAACCTTCCTCTAATGACATACTTCTTGGCAGTCGAAATCCTATTTAGGTTCGGTCTCTTTTTCGTATATTCGATCACGTCCATCGGATATCTCTAAATCCTATGATAACGTTTCTACTAGGAGCCTAAGAAAATGTAATCGGAATTCTATTACGAAGTGAACTATAATTAATTATCGGCTGTGTTATTCCAAAAGCAAAAAACGACCGGGAGCGTAGTGAGAATTAAGTTTTGCCTAAACCGCCAATGTGGTAGCTAGACGCAACTGAACGATTGGGCTCATTTGTGACCAGGGCATACGCAAGAATTCGAGATCCTGGTTTAGAATTCGACTAGTTGGTCGAAATCGGGACAACCTATCGACTGTGTGTTGGTAGAGATGGTTCATATCTTCATCTGAGAGCTGCAGTAGACTTTCGATGTGTTTTCTAAGTGGGGTCGAACCGATAGCTCGAAAAAGAAGGACTGCCTTGAATCCACTGCGAATAATCAGTGTTAGATACACATCATGGGTAATACAGTAGTTGACTTACATGTTAAGTGTATTCACAGGGTTACCCATAATTACCAGACTACTGCTTGTACCCCGAAATTTCTTGTACACATGACCATCAACTGCACCGATACAGTCAAAAGCGGTAATGTTGTTGAGAGCATATCTCGCCCACTGATGGATGATATAGATGATACCTTGCTGGCCTTTGGATAGCTCTTTGTCTGAATCCTCCATTCGATCGAGAAAGTTCAGAATTCTCAGGTACGGTAACAACAAGGCAGCTACACCCCCGTAGTACTCTGCTCGTAGCGAAGCCATCAAATGGTTACTTGACGGTGGATCCTGATCATTCCAGGCCAAGTTTGGGATGATACTTGATCTCCATTGCTCCATAATGTTGATCTTGAACTCTGCGGAGCTTGTGAAAGCGCACAGGTGTTCATCATCGAAGCTTTCGATTGAAGCAAAATCTGGTGGTGGAATTCGCTTTGCAACCTGGAGTACCATCTGGAGCATTATCCTTGTCCACAAAACATCATAATCGGGCTCTTCCACCGTCTCTCCAGGAAATAATGTTCTCCAGCCGTCCGAGTAAGGAATAGAACAGTCAATGCTGGCGTCATCATGAAAATCGCTAGGAAAAGAGTCAGACGGGTACTCAGACTCATCATCTCAACTAACCTTGCAAGAATCTGAAAAATCCCAACGCTTCTCATTACTTCCTCGGAGGGGCACTTTCTCGCGGTCAAGCTGGTTATTATTAGGCTAGTTTTCCAGGTAAGAATAAATCGTCTGACCTTTTGACAACATCTGCGTAAATGGAATGAGAAGCGTGCAGGTGTATCAAGCTATTAGTAAGCATTCCGTTTTGGCTAGTGTAAATTGCAGCTAGAGTTGATGTTTTTGCGTAAGCAATGCTTCGATCCCTAAACTTACGCTTGAGAATATATTGAGCTGAATGATAGTAGATCATGCCTGGTCTAGTATCAGAGCCCCCTGTATACTCAGCATCTGGGAAACAGCTTCCTATTGCGAGAAACAATAAAGCCTGGGCATTTTCGAAGCTTGTTTCGACAAGATTGTTCCGCTCTGCTGTGCGACTCATGTCGTCTTGAAAATGAACGCATATGTTCTCAGGCTTGTCGAAAATTGGATATAGGACATGAACGTGATTTAGATAGACACCGAATAGCTGTCGAATCTTTTTGTTCGAAAATGCTTCTGGTGTACCTTTTGGTTCAGGATCGTATAGTGTAAGATGTGTATGGGAAAAATTCATCTCAAATGCCTGTAGCCGGCCAGAAAAACTGGAAACTTGATTTTTTGTATTATCGACGAGCTTGTGTATCTTGAACAGCGTCATCTCTTGACTAATGGAAGTTAATAAAAACCTGTGAGTAGGCGGAGGGTACTATACGCAGTTGGTGGTGTATCGATATATTCGCATTCTCCATTTTCTTCATGACATTTGTTGCATGGAGACTCTCCATTGCATTTTTGCTTGCGTTTACGGCATCGATTGCAAGCTTTGGAGGTTCTATATCCTGAGGGCTGGCGTGCTTTTTGGGAGGCGTGATTTTGGTCGTGCTGTTGTTGGTTCGAAGGACGTTGATAATCCATCTCGCCCACAAAGAAAGGGTACGACATAGCCGAATTTTAGAAATGTTAAGTATTTGTAGTAAACAGGGGATGTGTTCAAGTGTCTTTGAAAGATAATAAAGCAGTGTTGTTGCGACAAAGCAATTAACAATAGCTACGATGAATGAAAAGCGGGAGGAAGTGCGACTTATAAAAGGGGGACATGATGCTAGCATGTGTACACGGTCAATTAACCGGAGCTCTCTAAAGAGCTTAGGCACTTATCGGCTAGATGCAAAAGGAATGGGCTCCGTGTTCATTGCCCAAATCGGTAGGGAGATGCCATCTGTCTCCACATCACATCCTTTTTGCCTTAACCATTTGTCACCATAGTACGTTTCAAGGGGTGCTTGGGACAAAATGGGCCGATGTTCTGCTTGAATAATCGGAATCAAGACATTGTGTAACCAGTAGCCAGGTATCACCCACTTCGAGCAATTAACAACATCAATTTTCCAATTTAGTCAGAGGACACCCGTACAGGATGCCATACACACAATGTTCCTTGAAAAAAAGGGGTGTAACACTAAGGAAAATGTAATGATATTACAGAACGATCTAGATATGAATACAGTTGTTGACATGGGCAAAAAGCGTTGGAGAACACTTCTCTAACGAAAGCTCTTCGCCTACTCCGATTGGCAAATCATCTGGTAGGATACCGCAATAAACAGGCTCAAGGATATCCATACGCTTCTCCTGAAACTCCAACAACTCTTTGAAAGCCTGTCCACCAACAATATTTTGCAGTTGATTCATGATGCGCCCGTGTGAAAGAAGCGCGTCAAGATCCACTCGCTGTAAGAGCATCACAGTATCTGACTGGGTTGCGACAAGTGCCTTGTGGCCATGAACACCATTCGAAGTCGAGTAGAAAGCATGTACAGCGATGATTCCAGATAGCTTCTCAGGAAGAAGAGTTTTTGCCTGGAAAAGCAGTAGTATAAGTAATTGGCTAGGAGTAACATATGTAGGAGTAGGTCAGCTTACAATTAAGGTTGGATCATTAGCAACCAGATCTTGGCCATTTTTGGCATCGGTGGCTTCTATCGATGGATAGAGAGAAGTCGGCCCTGTGTCTGGTGTACTAGGCCAGCTTGCAGTTGAGGTTGGATCATTTGCAACCGTATCTTGCCCATTGCTGGCAGTAATAGTCTTAGTTGACGAATAAAGCGCTGTCGGTCTTTTGTCTGGTGTCCAACGACTAGACCAAGAACGCCTCGGGGTTGGAATACATGCAAAGCATGATCGCACCCAATTGAACAATATTTTGGGGCCTGACTGCATGGAATCAGATATATGTTCAAAAATGAATGTCTAAAAGTCCTTACTACGGTTGTATCGTGAATCGACCTGTAACATTGCCTTTGTAACTCTACCATACTTTCCAATGTTTCTTTGTACGGTTTCGTAACATTGAAATCTTTTTCAAGAAATTCTTCAAAGGTTAACTCCTGTTCTTCGTCTATGCGCCGTATCTCAGAGTTGTATCCCAAGGACTCCGAGATAGTTACTCGAACATAGTGGGTACTGCGACGGCAACAAACACCATGAAAGGCCTTGATATATGATTTCAACTGCTTGGATTCGATGTAAATATGTCCGATGGTATCGCCGTGCTTCGTTGCGTGGTATTGATATGGCTCGTGGCAGAGGAAGCGTTTTGGGCAACGCCCGCATTGGTATTTCCCGTCCGCTATGACAAGTCAATATCTATGTTTACTCAAATTGTACGCATAGTTTGAAAACGAGGTCTCTTACCTTCAGGACGAACGACAATATCTTTCTGGAATGTTAGGTCCTTTAGAGAATCAGGCTAGAAGGTTAGTTCCGCTCTTATCGTTTAGACTTTAGATCCAAAAGATAGGGACAAGCCACATACCAGAGATACATCTACAGGAGATGGAACCATTGTGTCAGCAGACCTAGCTCGAAAGAAGGCAACCGGTGGAGGGCGCAAGGGCGGTGAAGCAACGAACAGAAGGACGTTGTAGCCTTGCAGGAAAGTTGCATGATATATGAGTATCTCAGCCACTGAACTGACTCTGGGTCGTTCTTTTGGAAACGCTTCAGGCAACGAGAGGCGACTGCTGTCTGGAATCTGGCACCAGCCAGGGTGCCTGCCGACGAACAGCACGGACGGGAGCGCGGGTACGAGGCAAACGGTGCGGTACGGCCCCGATAGCCTGACTAGGGGCCGAATACCGTGAGTTCAGGCTACAGCTCCTGTCTGTACAATCCAATCACATAGCAGAATGCTTCATCGGTTGACAGCTTCCCAAGACTAGCATGGCAGACTTGGCGACATCAGGCCCTTCACAGCTTACGAAGCCTGTAGCGGAAAGGCCTCTTACTGAACGCTACGCCGATCAGATTCATCCAGGGCGGTACCGCGGGTTTGGTAAGGTGGTGAAGCGATCAAGAAGTGGCAAGCGCGGTAATAATGTGCTTAAATCACACCTAACTATACTAGGCACAGTCTGAACGATGGATTTACGCTTATGCACAGAAGGGTGGGGGTTATCCCTGTATGACAGGATGTTCCCAAAGTAGTTTAGTTTTAATCACCCGTACCGGGTATTCAAATCTAAACTACTTTTAGGATCCCCCTTCACATCGACTTCGCGACCATCACCGCTTCCTTTCTGTGAGAAATGGCATATTATGAGTACGAAAAGGAGTTGATGAAAGCATTAAGCTAGTGCAAGCCATCTGATGTTATTAAAAATAAAGTTAGTAATCCCTTTTGAATCAGTGCTAGTGTATGACTTAACGGTACTTAGGCCTTGCTTCAATGTTTCCATCAATTCATAAAAAAGGGGACTGTACTTGAGTGGTGTGAGATTCTTCCAGAGAGTTTTAAGGCTCGCAATGTGTTTACGGCTATCCAACAGCTCCGGGAGCCGGTCCGCGACGCCGATGTAGCCACGCAGCAGCCACAGCAGCCACGTGATACCCCTAAACCGCCAAACGAACAGTACTTCGAGAAGTTCGTTTCAGAAGAACAAAGATTGAAAAAATTGTACAGAATTGCCCAACGCATGACTGCTGTTGAGACAACGACACAGATATGCAAAGACCGTGAAGACCTCATTCCAGCCGATCCGATCATACAGGCAAAGGCGATGTACCAGAGAATAGAGCAACCTGTGAATCAAAGGAACCCACTCTATCGGCAGCACGTTATTCTTTTTGGAGATGCAGTCGACCGATACGCAGCATTGCGGCTAGTGGAACTCTCAAGAGGGCAAGACCGCAAAACCGCCGCTTTCGAAGCGATCGCTGAAGGACTTAAAACCGAAAAGAAAAAGGTGGCTAAGAGGTACACTCACTCTCGCCTTTACTTGAAACTTGCAGAAATTGGAGGGCCGGGTTCTCTTTGTTCAATAGATGGCTCCAAGTGGGAGTAAGCATAAAAACAACCAAGTTTAGCATTCTCTAACATGTCACAGCATGGAAAACACCAATGAAGAAGACATAAAGTTGCTCTGCAACTATAGGAAAGAAAGGCTACCAGCGGTGGAAATGCAATCCCAGGCTCTCGATTTCATGGTGGTCGAAGATTTTGCCCGCAATCTCCTGGTCCAAGGGGTAGATGCAGCCGAGATTGCAGTAGGCCGCACCACTTTAGCAAAATTGATCTGCCGTCACGTAGAAATCGAACGGTTTGTACAAGATGGGACTATAACTCCAAAACGGACGAGCGTATACAACAACGAACAGCCCCGGCGTACGTCTCCACGATCTCCTGCAAGAACTGGATCCAGAATGGATGTTAGAACACCTTCCCATACCATGTCTTTCGATCTGCAACGACCAGTGCCACTCTACCATGCTCTACAAAGCCAGCAGCCAGCTCATGCTGCGGCGACACGCACGAATACAGCCAAACGACGGAGGGTCTCTGGGGATGAAGACTTACAAATCCTGACAGAGTCAGACAGCATAGAAGAAAATGAGCAGACTTGCTTTGCGCCTCGTTCACAAGCTCCACAATTTACTGCCGGGACAAGAACCTATGATCAAGGAGATCATCAAACTGAAGAAACCCCAGATACCCTTCAGTCATTGGAAAAAGGTAACGAAAACTACTTAAAGGCTACTGCTGTCGAACTGTGCCAGCAGTCATCCTCATGCATCAGCTCATCTCAAGATAAGCAGTCTTTATACACTTTTCGAGACCTGGATTACGGACCGGGATCATCGTCAAACACTTCAAACGGGGTATTGAATCAATCCTATCCATCAGAAAATGGAGACGCAATGGGGGAGGCGCGCTGTGCACTGAGCTCCGGTGATGTTAGGGAGGAAGAAGATCAAGATGACAGCGAATTACCTTCGGTGGTGGTCAGGAATCTTCGCATTGGGGAGGAGCGTTTAGGAGATCTCGATTTGTTTACTAACTACTACTACTAATTCACATCATCCGCTGGCTCAATGAACAGTTTTTGAGTCAAAATTGGAGTTTGTAATGGCACTGGCTGGTACATGACCCCTTCGAATACCACCACAACTACATCGTGCTGTAATGTTACTTCATCGGCCTCCCCGGTCGACTTATTTCGCAACTTTAGCTTCGCGTTACTATGTGGCGCATGGAGAGATTGAAGAATAACAATATCGTGTTTGGAAGTCTCTAGCCAAGGAGGTGATTGCTGAGAGCTTATGTGCAATCGGAGGACTGTGGGAGGAAGTTGATATTCTTCGGGCTTAGCTTTCCTTATCTTCGCTTTCGCGAAATCTGCTACTAGGCGCTGGACATCTCGCACCTTCTCTCGAAGTCAGAAAGTGTCATCAATGCTATAAGCATCTAGCATACTATACTGTTGTTGAGCGCAGTGCTAAAAGGGATCGTTACTTCTCCAGGAATATGCGAGAGTGCTATCTGTGGCCTTGGCGTGTTGTTCTCGAAGTCTACCTCGTTCCATTGATCTTTTGGAAGCAAGGCGATCTTTTCAGAGATTTTGTGGGCTTCTTCTGTGAAATGTGTAGGTATAAGCTTGAAGAGTACCATGACAATGTTGGTTTAGTGAAGCCGGAAGTTCGATCTACGAAAGATCGTGCATAGGCAGGCGCTGAACTTTTAACATCTCCACATGACACGTGCATTGATAATCGTTTCAATGGAAGACGTGGCGGTGCATGCGGGGCACTTCTATAAATTTAGGTGTCGGAAGAACGATATTCCTCCGGTTGTCCGCTATTGGCTAGTAGAATTCTACAAAGCAACGAATCAATGCGCTCCATTAGGTTTTTTGTCACTTTGGCCATAGTCATAGTACTGCTGGTATTCTTCCCCTGTTATAGAACCATTCGAGACCCTCAGAGTGCCCACTGAAACTGCCACAGAGGCTTGAGGAACCGATTCACTTTCTCCTTGGGTGCTGCCTTGGGCTTGGCGTCCGTCCCCATTCGTTCTGTCAGCGTTTGTCTGATCCGCTGAAGCATCCGTGCCCGAATCATTAGAACGATCCGATTGATTGCTTGCCATGGCGAGAGAGCTTGCACATAAAGCGAAAATACTGATAACTGCCAACCGTAAGCCTCAAATCGCCTAGAAGGCCACCGAGAATGCTGCTGCTATTACTCTCAGCTTTACCACTTCGTACATCCTATCACTGTTTACGTACGAAAGACTTCGCTAACTCACATTAGACGGAGAGAGAACTTACAGGTGTACGAGATTGAAGACTATCCTCCTATCTTGGACACCCAGAAGCTAGTGAGGTTACAGGTTGATCGGCGAGCAAGGCAAGAAGTAACAAAGAGTTGATGAATTCGTCAAAACGAAGAAGAGCTCGTGGTGCGCAGCTCAATCAATGCTAACACTAAGGGCTTGTTCTGCTGGTAGCGTGTAGCGCAAAAAGCTAAGTAGCAAGCATTGACATGTCGTGCTAGAGAAGAATGACTATAGAGAGAATGTAAGACGATAGGAGGATGTATCAAGCAAGTACACGAATCTAGATTGACTACTGGTCTTTATACTGAACTTTATAACCTTACTCGCGCCTGGTACTCCTCGGATTGCTTACAATCATGCCTCTTCTTCATATAGGAACAGATCGACCCGCCTGCAACAGCAGCTAACAAGTGCCGCATTCTTAGATCACACTAAGATGCATGATTCATGTTGCTCTAGCTGTATATATGCTTATATCCATGAAGTGGCTTGCAGACCACTTTGATCTTGGTGTGGATCAAGGCAGCAGATGTTCCTAACAGGCATATCGCACTAGTGTGTCAATCAAGATGCGTTCGACACCTCGTATTTACCATGACTCGAAACAGGGGAACGGTAGCCTTCTAATGGTGAAGAGAACCCTTCTTATCTTACGTTTGTTCAACTTGATATCCCCATACATCGATTCGTGCCAAGGCAATACGGGAATTATGCATATGAAAAGTGGCTCCTCGAAACTTGCAAAGATCCTAGTACACGGCTGGGAAATGCAGACGGTATACCGATAATTAGATCTCTTAAATTGAGGCGTGTAGGTAGTTTGAACGGTACTGCATAACTGCAATTAGTGTAGATGATAGTATGTACATATGGAATGCTCTTGTGCCAGACTATTTAGTTCACATCTCCACGCAGGCGTCACTACTATCTTGAGATGTTAAATGATTAAATCGATTGTGATGGATTAGCAGTTACTGGGATGCGTTTGTAATGCTAGTAGGTAATCCTTGGTGAAAATGCGTGAGCAATCATGCAGGGCAAGAAAACATGGAGGGAGAAATAAGATGAATGAGACGGAAGAGACGGACGAGACGGACGAGACGGAAGAGACGGACGAGAGTGCTGGGATTTACTTGTAAGACTAGGCTCTAGCCCAACTGGAAATGGCAGTTGAGACATTCAAGATTTTGACTAGGTACCACAAGGAGACAGCACTCTCGACCGAAATGGTGAGTACCATACACATCGATCATCGAACAATTAATGCAGCTCATCTGTCTCGTCCGTCTCATTCGTCTCGTTCATGTTGACACCTAAACTTCTAACATGGAGTCATACAGTTAATAGAGCGTGCGCTATGATTAGGAAATCATGATCCTAGATGAAGACGGAGGTGAGAAACCCTTAATCTGAGCCGAAGGGAATATATTACACACTGGGTGGCTGGATTTGAATGCGATTAGACTCACGTTGCTGGTACCCATTGCAACCTGAAGAGGTTCACGTGACAGTACCGACGCTAAATAGCGGGGCAACGGGCCACCCAACACCATCATCCAGCACTGTTTTTGGTCTCTCTGTCAGGCATATTGGCAATCATGAACTGTCATCATGCTGGAGTTTTCCATTTGAACCTAGAGAGTCCGTAGCACATTCTTATTCTTTACTGCGACCGTGCAACGACAATTAGTCGTGTCGTCGCAGGCAGCCACCACGTCTCAAGGTAAGTCAGCACTCCCGTATGGGCTCACTTGTTGGGCATCAACGCCTACTTGCCTTGGTACACCATCGCATGTCATCTAAATGTTGTTTATGGAGCTTCATGTCTCGCTAACCACTTGATGCAGTTTAATACGACTGCTACCTACTTCAGTCTTCGATCCTCTCACGCGTGCGACGTCAACCTCTTTCCTCCTCTAGGACTCGCCTTACTCCCTCACACGCTCGCAATCCTCGATCGTTCCGACCTGTTCTTATCTTTGTGCTATCAGGCGCTTCACTGAGTTCATATCGATGGTATAATAGCTCCATCCTTAATCATTTTTCATCTAACCAGTCATCAGGCTTTCGATGCACAACCTCTCGACTCGACAATAGATTTTGATAATGTCGATGAGAACCGTGTCAAAATGATTATGGGCAGGGGTCAAATGATATATTGGAAGGGATGTAATGTCACTGTCTATGAAAATGACAGTGACGGGAAAGAGCAGACAAGGAAGCTTATTGGAATGCCTAATGGGCAAGGAATCTTAGAGTCTGGTACTAAGCTGTATGTCACATTCGGAAAAGTGAAAGAGGAATATCATTAGGGTATTGAAACATCCTATGTATAGAGCTTGTTCTCAATGCGTAGGCCTCTCTCTAAACCTAGGGATAAGTTGATGATGGCCCCATTTTATGTAAGGATCATTGAGACGCATTCGGTTACATCTCTCCCTTCTGCCATTTCCCTTCGCCGCATAGCGCATTCAGCAATCGCGTGATATATCTCAGAACCAAATACCTTATTAATAACTTTATCCTCGACGCCCTTCAAAGTAACTTCAGAGCTCTCTGTGGTTAGCTTCATCCCATTCTCTAGAACCACATGCAGAACGTGTTCCGTCCATTCTACCTTTGCGTTGAACAGAGCCATAGAAAGTTGTGCTATACCCCATTGGCAGACGTCCAGACTCATAAGACAATCGACGAGTCCTCCCCAACCAGGAAAGATCATTGATATGGCTGCTTTCGATTCCCCATCAACATTGACCCTCCTAATTGCGTTACACATGTATGCATCGAAAATTTCTACGATTCCTTAAAGCGAGGCATTCTGAAGTACCGGTTGCTCTTGCACAATGGGGAGATTCGAATCGGTGGGGGAAATCGTGAGAACCTTTTGTCGCTTATGTTCTAGAATGCGCCAATCAGCCCCGAGCGCGATGCAGCATAGAGACTAAGTGTACCTTGGATGTCCCGTATTTCCCCGTCGGATTCAATTTCCCGATTACGCTTTGTAGCTGGTAAAACTGGGTACTCCGATAGTCGCCTTCCTAGTAAACCTGTAGGCAATAAGCACTACTCAATCGATATTGCAGTATATTATTATTACCGCTGTAATTATCATCCTTCGACTGAAGCAAAGACAAAACCATTTTGGCCTGGCACAGCTCTGTTGCAACCGTTGTCAGTCCTTGCGGTTTTAGGGCAGAGCACCACCAAGTTTGAATGGTAGAAAGGCGGATATGCAACGCCTTTTCACCCAATCTCGTGATACATGGCCCCAACGTGCACAGAAGGAACACTTCAGGTCCTATGAACTGATAAATGTCTCTCAAAAGCTTGCGCGCTCGTTTTCGCACACTACGGCGTGATTTAGACCCACTGCTTAAGTCGTCGTCGTTTTCCTTCAGCAAGTCGCAACATGACTTGAAGGACATTTTCTGGCCTTCGAGCAATGAAGTGGTGCTTTCATTGAAGGTCATCATAGTCTTTTTGAGTTCTTCTATTAACCAATTGTCGCAATCGTAACGGGACGACATTCTGGAAGGATAGGGACAAGAGAGGACCAAAAAGGCAAGACGTATAAGATGGAGGAGGCAGAAGAGATGGGCGAGACGAAAGAGAAAGATGAGACGGAAAAGATAAACAAGACGGAAGAGATAAACGAGACTGACGAGACGGACGAGACGGACGAGACGAACAAGATGGATGGTGAACCCCCACATCTAGCGAGGCACCTTGCCGCCTTTGACGCGGGGTAAATTGCATTCAGCAGGTTCTGATTGGCCCGCAAAGAAATCAGCTCCTTTATACCATATCTCTTCGCCATTCTGCTTGCGCGTTACCCCTGGTGTCTTGTTTGAGAGTGGGTCGATGGTGGCGGCGGTTAAGATGTTGCGCAGCTAAACTAGGTAAAACGTGCAGGATACTGGAAGGCGATGATAGTGAGAAGGGTCAAAAAGACGTGTAACATGGAGTTGGCGCTGGTAGATTTGGTTGTTAACGCCGGTGAACGAACGTTGATTGGCTGGCTGCTACAGTATTGGCATCCAAGCGCTTGGTGCATCACCTGCGAGAGTATTGGGCTATTCCAGAAGCGAACCGCGCGCTTTAGCCGTCGGATGTTATGACATCTGACACTTGATCCCAACAGGTAGTGTTGCTAGTCACTGACAAGAGATCTTGGTATCTTAGCGCTAACCAAAACATGCTTGAAACAGTCACTAAGAGCGCGTCTATAAATCAAGGAGACCTCAGGGCCTCCGTATAGTATACATAACGAACAGAAGCTCAGCAGTCTCAGGGAAATTTCTAAAAAAAAGTCTGATTAAGGTTCGAAAATGCCATCTGATAAAGATCGACTATACGTTGCTCTTTACGCTCGTAGCGGGGCTCCAAAAATGCCTGGTGGCGAGGATAAGTAGGTACCCTTTGATTTTGGTTTGGACGTAACTAAAATCTAATAGATATCACTGGGCATTTATCATCGGCCCAAAGAGCGAAGGACCTTCTGCGAATGGAAGACGCTGCCATGTGAAGGAGTCCCTACAAATAATTGATGGAAAGCCTCAGAATACCTGGGCTTACGAGAATCTTGAGATAACTCTGCAACCAACTTCTGCCATTTTGGTTAGGATTGCGATTGGCAAAGTTGCAGATGGAGCACGACTTATGGAAGCTTTCGCCAGAACTCCCATACGTGCAGGATACGCGGGATATGAGAGTTGGAATTGTGTTTCGTGGGTTCAAGAAGCCCTCACTTGGGCGGCTCATGACGGAAAGGCGTTAGGGACTTGTCATACTGATTGGAATTTTGTGAGGAGCATTGCCATGTGGTACGTTGAAAAGAAGGCCGCTGACCACCGTTTTGACGGACAAGGGCAATTTGACACTGGCAAGGTAGCAACGTGGGACGCAATGGAAGGGAAAGAACTTATTCCGTAAAGCACACAAGAAATTAGACTTCACCAAAGTATTTACGCCGTATTTTCTCCATATTCAGTTCCTCCTCCTGCACATCTAAGAAGTTTCCGACTTCGTCCTGCCAGAAATAATTTTGGGGATTAGCGTGCCATGCCATTGTGAACTCCCAATAGTAGGGTAGCCACCCGGCAGTATCCCAATCAATGATGCCAACTACCTTGTTGTCGCGGATAAGGATATTAAGGCTGCTAAGATCACCATGTGTGAGGACTGGTGCACGTTGCACTGACTCATGAAAGGTGATAAGTCGTTTCAGCTCCAAGATAGTAACACTACTCAATGAGTTTGGTACCTCAAGAGACTCGAGAGTTATGCTGTTCCTAAGTGACAAGTGAAAATCGGAGATAGTACGAAAAGGTCCCCAGGAAGATGGTTGAAGTCGAATATCGTGGATAGGGCCGCCGTCTATACTAGAGACGCCATTGGTCTGACTGGGTACAGATCGAAGTTCGTGTATCATCTGTTGAAGCTGGTTGAATACCAACGACTTTGACATGTCCGAAAGCGAACGCCACCTGCTCGCTACAGTCTCGCCGCGGATTCTTTCCATAAGTATATAAGTTTTGCCATGGTGTGTGAAGGCACAGTAAACTTGTGGTACAGGAATAGAGGTATGTCTTGCGATAAATCGCATAGTGTGTGCTTCTGATAGAGTGACAGAGCTCCCGAGTTTGATACAGAAGTTGAGGAAGAATATAACGCTATTAGAGCGGGTAAAGAGCTTGCTCGCATACTTCTGTACTGCCAGGTTGACGACTGTCAGCGTGAAGATCCGTAGTGCTTTATTCTTTAGCCGTGATTCAATGCGAAGACTGTTGTTTATTGGTAGGTCCGTAGGCATCCTCTCATACAGTATGTACTGGAGGGGTGTGACAAGTGGCACGACGACGCGTCGGGTTCGCTAGGAGGTGGGGAAGTTCACAATGTTTACGAAACTTGAAGGCGACGTGTTAAGGGATGGGACAAATAGTATGCTTGCGATAACGGTCGAACAGCGCGTTCAACAGTATGCACAGGTTATAGATGGCGGGATGATAGCAGCAAGATGGAGAAACACAGCAGTCAAAAAAGGACGACATAATGGCGTGGAAGCTTTGGATGCCGACCCTGGCTGCGCCAAGAGCTTTCGTGCCAAGGTATTCCATGCACGCGCTAGATATCGTGTCAGACAGGCGACAAGTCTCTAGGGCCGAAAGCGATCGCCGAGCTAGCTCTTGGCCTCTGCATTGGTCGCGCGTTCGCGGCAACGCTCTCCTTTTGCCACCCACTAATATTATTTTACGCGTCTCTTCCACCGCTCCTCCCATCCTCTTCAAAGTACGCAGGCCACAGCTAACCGTATGCGCAACGTTGTCGCAATTAATTAGCAGGTCTTTTGGAACACCTATACTACTGCGACTACAGATTCTCTAATTAATAAACTAATAACTAGTGAACTAACTAGAGGATAACATCACTCATGCGCCTACTTAATTCGACATAGCTGTGGAAATATAGATGTTTCCGAAACTTACCTGCTTCTGGGATCAATGGTAGACATTAAAGCCGCCCCTTCACATATACACAAAGACTCAGGATTGCTTGGCCGCTCTTGTATCCGCACTTCAAATCCTTGCAGCTTCTCGTCACCTGCCCTCAACCCACGGCGGCAAAAATCTGCTCGAAGATCTGTTAATGCTAGCCACTCCTATGTCGAATGGATATTTTCTAGTTAATTATCCTATAGTTAAGCAAACTTCCCCAAAGAATCTCACAACGTAATTTAGGATGCAGTCTACAACGCCATCACCGAGTCGACGCCTCTACCCCGCCCTGCCTCGTCCTCCCACCAAACACCTCTTTCCGTTAACACGGGCAGTTTCGCGAACTCGACCAAGCACCGCAAACACGTAGACAATGTGCTAAAGAAGGAGTGGGAGAGCTATAAGTTGGCATACCCGGTTTCTTCAAAGCATTCTTTGGAGATTTGCCAGATCTGAGACCGATGGCACAAGCTGTTTTTGACGAGTGCAAGGAGGGAGATAAACCACTCTTCCAGGTAGAGAGCGATTGGCAGAGCTGGCCTGAGGCGGCGCAGGAAAATGACGTTTTGAGCTGGTTTGCCCCACTTACAGAGCGGTTGTTGGGCCTTGCAGATGGGTGTCAGTCGGTATCTAGGATACGCCGGCGAACACTAGCACAGCCGCATCAGCCTCTACAAGGCTCCACTGCCGATCGCAAGTTGGACATTGGCTTTGTGGACGATCCGAACGCCGGCGTGAACTCGAAATATCAATGGTCACATATCCTTGTACCCGGAGAGCTCAAGAGCAGCCCGTCAGCCGACAAAGCGTCCAAGGCGTGACTCGACCTTGGCCGATACACGAGGGAGGTGCTCGCTGCCCAAGCGAGTTGCTGCGCGAGGCAACTTAGATGGACGTGATTAATGTGGCGAGATACTATCATCATGAGACGGTTCGTGTGGGCATGCAGGACGACTCCATCTGCGGGAACGTGCGACAAGGTCTTGATATAACAAAAGCGACAAACTACAGGCCAGAAAGCATAATGCCATATCTAAGCACAGTTCGCTCCCTCTCAAGAAAAGGCCGAAGCAGCAGCGCTACCGAACGGAAGCGATCCTCGAGTTGCACGAACGCATCTTTACCGTCTAGCAAGCGAATTTGTTCGAGCTCTCCTGTAAAGGGAGGAAGAACAACAGTGGATCGAGTGCACTGCCGCGTTGTTGTCCGAGACTACGGGAAGCCTATATATATGGCGAGTTTCAGGGCTAGCCTTCTGGCTGCGCTAGAAGGCTGTATCACAGGGTACGAGTCGTTGTATGCGCGGGTCGGCATGCTACAATGCGACATTTCGCCGAACAACCTTATGGTGAACGAGGACGAGGACAGTCCTCCCCGCATGCCTTCTTGATCGACCTAGACCTTGCTATCAAGGAATATCGAGAGAAACCGTCAGGGGCACGAGGGAAGACCGGCACGCGAGCGTTCATGGCGATCGGGATACTTTACGATGATGAGCAGCATTCTTTCATGCACCACCTAGAATCTTTTTTCTAGGTGCTGTTTTGGATATGCATTCACTATAACGGATCGCAGGGAAGAGTAGTTCAACAATTTGACAAATGGAACTATGCAAACATGGAGGAGCTAGCCAAGCTAAAACTGGGCACAATATCAGATAATGAGATTTTTTCGTAAAACTATCCTAGAACATTTCACAGACTATTACCAGCCACGTATATCTTGCGTTGATAGATTACGGAGAAAGATATTCCCTAGAGGTGGAAGGATGAGGGTTCCGAATCCGAGGCTGTACTTGGATGTGAAGGAGATCCTAAGAGCAGCACGAGATGACTTGAAGGAGTCATAAGGATAAGGAGACGTATCGATCAGCATGCACCATGTGAACCAGCAGAAATAACCAACGACTGCTAGTATAGCTATGTAATCCCGTCTGTTACTTTGCTGGTAATGTAGTGAGATTATCTTTCTAACCTCGCAAGTCAATCACACTTGGGAAGCGAAGGACTCTGGCAGTCGACATGGAACACTTCTGACATCGTGAATTGAACATTGTGCCTATAAACGATACTCCCTTTGCTGATCAAGTCACCTGCATTGAGGACCCATAGTATGTCGCGACGACATGTCGCGAGGTTGAAAAGCAGGGTCAGCGTCATAGCCTGTTCATCGCTCTACCCCGCTTACCCCGCCCAACCCGCCCACCCCGGTTCCAATCGACAATAGGTAGGCCATAGCCTGTAGCAGGTCTTATGTAGTGCGGAAGCGCTTTGTCCTTACCGATAGAGGAAGTGTGCAAGGTATGCAAGTCGTGACCCCGCGCGACGTGAATGCTATTTCAACTGCCTCAGCGTACTGTCACCCTTACAACATGTGGTAGTTAGATCGCTTCTCGCCAAACATGTTCACCTGCTCTCCACCGCCCGCAGTGATTTGCGCTGAGGATATCGCCCTGCTCTATCTCCTCCATCCGGTCCCAGTCCCACCTTCCTGCAATGAGATTAAGAAGCCTCCATTTCGCCAAGGGAGCTATTCATTGTCATTTGTCCAGGAGCGAGAATTAGCTAGCACATTAGCCTTCCTGTCTAACACTAAAGATGATCCCAACCATATACCAGCCCTCTGTGTTGAGGAGAACCCTAATTTGGTGTCGTTAAATGTTGTGGTAGCTGTGAACAAGAAAAATGGGGAGGATGGTAACGAGGTCCTCCAAAAGATAAAGCAGAGTCTCGAGAAGATCTTCACAATTCTGTCAGAGTTCTCAGAAGGTATGTACTATAAGCTCCTCTATGCTTGCCGATAATAATTGTTGTAAGAGCGAGACAACAACCGAGCAATAGAACACCAAATCTTCAATGCAATTATTTCTATATGTTCCCATCGCATTCTAAGCCGTCTGAGGTTCATGGCTACAAAACGGGGTACTCCTAGACAGCCCCTTAGGGTTATTCTAGGCGAAGCTATCAATTCTCTCAAGCAAGTCAATCATCAAACTTTGAACAGCCTACCGTTCAGCTTATTCACGGAAAGAGCTAAAGATGTTGTTAGACTAGCTGACGCATGGGTTAAACATCAGAAGTTAGCGGAGTTAGGAAATCTGGTGGAAGGCATCTACCAGTTAAAGCAGACTGGAGATGTTCAAGTCCTGCTAGACTCGATACCAAATCGTGCAATGGGTCCAAGTTCAAGGCAAAACCTGTTCAACATTATTAAGAAAGTGTCGAGATATCGAGAGGCTGCACGATTTCTGTATCGTACAGCCAAAAAGATTCCCTTGCTGCGGCGAGCGAAAGTTGTTATCGCCAGTCTGCCCAAAGAGACTTTCCATCGAGTTTCGGACGAAAACTATACTCCACAGCTCACGTCGACGATTTCAAGAATGAACACAAATTGCCAAGGGCCAGTCGTCCGCCACCTCTGTCGTCTCCTGAACACGAGTGGTCCACAGCTGAATGATCAGTTTGCTGATCAAACAAGGAAAACGATGCGGGAGGCCAAGATACATGCGGAAATTCAGCTTGTCTTCTATTATGAGTTGAATGTTTCGAGGTTACCACCACGTATTGTTTGTTCCAGCAAGGATGCATGCTTTCTGTGTAATGCTTTCATTCTGATGCATGGGAAAATGCACACACCCCGATACCATGGGCGGTTGTATCCTGGATGGAGATTGCCATCGATGTCTGATCTTAACGATTTGGATATACGACTCAATTCGGCACTCGAAGATCAGATTAAAGATAGCCTGAAGACACTGCTATCAAGACAGAAGAAGACTATGTACCCAGATCCAAACGAGAGCACATTGCTTACACTGCCATTATCTACATCAACGTTGCGTACACCAGCTCTAGTAGAAGTAATTGAATGGGAGAAAGCATCTGCAAAAAGCTCTTTAGTCAACGACACAGCTAGACTCCGGGAACGCACAATATCACCCAAAGACCGATCGTCAGTCTCCCTCGCAGAGTGCATTGGCACTGTTCCTTCCGCACTTGGTTCGAGAAGTGCTATCACGGTAGAAGATGATGAACTTCCCAAGATTAGCTTGTCAGACCAAGCTGCAACGCAACTTTCCGCTCAATGCAGTCATCAAACAACTCGACATGAAGTTATAACATGTGAAACTGAAGAATTGATTCAGGGTATGTCACAGGCTAGAAGCGTTATCGCGTGCGAACCCCAATTTCACACTACAGATGAGCTTGAGATTCATATCGAGCATATCGCAGAAATGTTGGTACCAGGTGCAAACAGAAGTGATTTAGAGATTGCATATAGCATCGAATGGCTTTCGGTCGAAAAGGCAAAGGAGCTACTAGAACATAAGGAAGCCACTATCGTAGACATAGAAGCGTTGCAATGCGGAGCCTGGCATACAATAGATTGCCACGATGATATACTCATTATGGCTCGAGGAACTCTTGTCAGAATCACACCTCGAAATGAAAAACAGAGAGAGGGGCGGGGGTAGAAGGGCGAGCACTTTGAGTCGTGTGATGTGTGATCTTATAACGAAAAAGTACGGAGAGACTTTCCTTAGTTTAGATGCGACTGTATCCTTCAACCAGGGGTAATATTAAGCTTTCCCACGCAACTTCGTGTACCAGCGTACTTGCACAGCTCAATGAGATCTATTTGGAAACTGATGATAGATCCAGTTCCAAGATTTGCCTTCCTCTTTCCAGGGTTTAATTTTTGATCTTAGCCATTTGTAGATCGTTGGCTGGAGTCAGTGATATGTACTGTGCATGGAAGGCTGAGCGGTGCGCTCCAAGATGGGACTAATGACTAGCGCAGCGGCAGAGAACATTACCCCGCTTTTCTCCTGCTTATAAGGTGAATAGGAAGCTCTGGCCTTCCTTGTGCCATAATAATACTTCTTCAATTTTGTAAAATGCAATCTCTCCAGCTTCCCCCGTCTGTTGAATCCGAACCTCCCTATTATGCAATGCCAAGGCCTGAACAAGTAGATATCTGCTATCGCGCTGCATGTAACGGACATACTTGGGAACAAGCAAGCAAGCGCGCTTGCTTGCTTGCATATCACGTTTAGTTGCTTGCCTATTCAGGCAAGCCAAGCGCCTCTCTACAAACCTGCACCAATCAAGTGCAAGCCAAGCGGGCCTCTCTAAATTAGCAACCAAGCGTAACAAGCAAGCAAGCAAGCACGCTTGCTTGTTCCCAAGTATGGTAACGGAGACCATGATACTCTTAAAGAACAGGCTGGCATGCTACAAAATTCTCTTAAATTTCGTGTTTTTTATTTTCCTAGGTTTTCAGATCAATTGTACCAAGATCCAAGACGCAAATAGCCGATCGATTAAAAAAGGGTTTGACATATCATCAGTCAAAAAATGATAATAATTAGAAAGATCCAGACTTCCTCCTTGCGATGACATAAACAATCACATTGCTAGGATCGTTTCTTCAATGTGTAGTAGCGCAGTTTTACTGCACCAGGCGACCGACTAGGGAAGCGTTTACATATCTCTTCCCACTCCATGCCCTGCTTATCCTTTAATGAGAGTAAAAGAACTTCTTCTGACTCTAGCCATAGCTTATGTGTTCGTTGGCTGTGTCCTCTTATATCTTCCTCTCCATTCTTATCGTCTTCGTCCCAGCCGTCATTTGAGTGGTCCGTTTCATGACTTACAGCGTCATTATGGGCACTGCTTATTTGCTTCTCATTCAAGTTCCCGCCGTTAGAGAGACCTGAAGGACTGCCGTTACAGCGGTATCCTAGCAGCAACCATGAATCCGGCGATAACTGGGTTATGCGGATAACTTTGCCTTGTTCGCCAATGACCTTGTGACCTAGGGGCATTAGGTTGAGGGGATGATTTGGGTTGGGAAGATGTAATATTGCTGTTACGACCGAAGAGTCATCTGGAATAGCGCAAAGTGTTAGATCCGTGATCTGACAAGACATGCTAGATCTCGATTCATAGTCGATATTATTTCCATCTTCGGCGGTCGTGCCTAGAGAATTCGATGCTGAGAGGTAACTTTGAGACCCTTTATCGGTGTTGAGCCGCTCCGATATCGGACTTTGGTGTAGCTGGGTCAATCTTACTTGTTGTGGTGGCTTCGTAGGTGCTGTATTGTAGTCCACTGATCTGAGAGCAGTGTTTGACTTCCCACATCCCATCTTAGATGTCCAAGCCCTGCGTCTAGGCCGTTGGGATCTCGATGAAGGGATGATACATGACCCATTGCGGCTAAGTCTCTTTCGAACAGTTTCCCCAGTTTTCCTACCGCTACTTTGTCTATTCACCACATCCCTACCGGATTCTTGGCCAATGTCTTCTTCTGACTCCAGTCTTTCGGAAAGGGGTATAGATCGTCGTGCTTGTAGTCGCTCTTCGAACGATCTCTGGATATAAGTGCCGTCGCGATGTTCTGCACCGTAGAAATCAGTTGTAGGCTGGGCTAGACTTGTGGTATAATATTCCTCGTGGCCAGAATTTGAAGAACTGAGAATAGAGCTCTCACGAGTACCAAGCCGGGAAGACTTGGCGTAAGGATGCGGCAAGGGCGTTCGCTTAGGCATATATGTACGTTCGATTGTGGGGCTCTGTGCCTCTCGCTCAGCCATCCTTCGCCGCTTCGATGGACGACGACGATCAAGCTCTGGATCCGACACAGCGTTCGGCACTGCTTCTAGGATACTTATTGTCTCATCAACAACCGAAGATTGATGCGATCGTTTTTGGCTGTTTGATGATCCATTTACCACACTAGCGACGCCGGAGAACGTATCGTCTTCCACTGATGGTCCTTATTTGACTGCGTCAATGCAGCTCCGTGTACTGATAAGACAATTCCACTCACCATGGTAAGTATATTCAATATCCTCTATAGAGAAAGCGTACTCTACTGCTGTATGGAGATCTCTGTGCTGTATGGCGCTGTCCCTACCGTTGGTAGTGGCGAGGTATTGGCTTTTGTCTTGAGAATTGGGGGAGCCATTGCTAAGACGAAACTCTGTGACGTTTTGGTGATTGTCAGTCGCACCAGTTTCGGTAATCAGATGCAGGTCTATCCGGGATTAGTAAAGTCAGCACTGCAATCAACTTGAGTACTTGCCTCGACCGCCTCCATCGAACGACTTATTTAAGGCTAAACCCAATGTTACGTGGTCCGTAACTCCCTCATCGCACAACTCACGGCGAAGTTGGTAGTGGCTGTCACCCTTTGCAAAATCATGTGTGTCTGTTCTATAATTCATTCCCAACAGATCGCATTTTTCTGAGTTCATTCCCTCAACGTCTTCTATATGGCCTGTTGTCTGTACTTGTGGTATCTGCAGAGGGACGGTGGGAAGGTTGCTTTCGCTTTCTAGATATGACTCAGTCCGCATTGATTCGCTTACATAACTAGTGATCAAGAATTACCTTGGAGTAGCAATCCTAAGGGTTGTGTCGCTACTTCCCCATGATTCCTATAAACATTCTGTTCGGCCTTCTTAGCCTTTGGCTTAGATTTCGTACGCTTGAGTAACGTAGGATCGTAATGTCTGAACTCAGATGAAGTGTTCTGAGGAACTGAAGTAAAAGCAGCCATGATAGGATTTCGATGGAATCTGATTAACTCTGGCCGAAACAACAGTGCGGTATCTGAGGATTTAAGTAGAAAACCATTCGGTGAGCCAAGGACCTCCCTAAGTGAGCAAACATCTAGCTCGGAACGCTAAATCGATTGCAGTAGGCTACCCTCGGTGTCCCCGACGAAACCTACTTCATCTGACTGTGTCCTGCTCTTGACTTGACTACTGCTGCGAGAACTTCTAAGGGTTTGCGTGAGTCCATGAGCGGGTCCGTTCCTGGATGAACCAATCACACTAGAGGGAGTGGTCATGGTATCTATTTGGCCGAAGGAGTGCGAGTGACGACGCCGGAGACCAGAGCTAAGACACGAGCATGAAGGCTATCCATTGGACAGCGCTCTACCTTCCGTCAAAACGGTGGCGGAAACGGCTGTAATCATCCCTCGTAGTCCATGCTAACTCAAATACCGATGCCGAGCTATTGACTGCAGGCGTCTATGCAAACGCTCCCTGCTGGTCACACTGCAGCGTTACAAAGGAGAGAGAAATCGTTTGACCGCGTCATCACCAACAAATCCAGCTCTTGCAGACCGCAGATAACTAAGCTCAGATTGGCCAGCGTGTTGTGTAGAAGGTCCGAAAGTTGAAAGAGGCAATATTGGGTGACCAGAGCTGAGACATGAGCGCCATTGACCGGAAACTGTGTCATTCTAGCCAGAGCAAGATGTGGTCAAAGTTCTGTCAATCTCTCACCTGCTACGCCAACGGCGATGCCGAGCCGCCAGCGGGCTGTCTCCTGACCTCTGACCCTTGCTTTTCGCACTGCAACAATGCAACACTACAGGCACTACGGACGTGCTATGCGTGGCGAAGTAATATGGATCCCTGAGCGCAAGACTAGCGTCATATGCGAGTAAGAAACCATACCCAGGAAGGAGAGAGCCCGCTCGGGCATGACGCGTCCTAACGAGGCAGATTAGAGGTTACGCTCCATCGAAGGAGCAAGGTGTGGGGGGCAGAGTAGCCAGAGCTGAGATTACGGCATGGAATCTCATGCAGACTGCCTTAATCAAGCTATGCGTGAGGCAGTGCATTGCAGAAGCACTGATGCCTCAGTGATCCAGAGAAAAAGGAGAAAGCGAATAGGTTAATCAATCAGCTGCGTAAGTGACTGAACCTTGCGAGGGGCGAACGCCCCTCCTTCAACCGTGGATGTGCTCCATATGAAGCTAGTGCAGCAACTATCGACGGAACCTAGACATAGTGTACGATAGGTATTCTGCCAGTATGTTTATTACTGTTACTGTGTGTTGCATTGCGACGAGAAGTTCAGAGATGCGTGAATTGTCGGAGCCCAGCGTGTGCGAAGACTGGGGAACCAGACTCCGTCAGGACCAAAGAATTCTGAGAGAGGCGGGCAATTCAGAGATAAAGGGGCACTAGAGCAAGGCGGCCTGATTCACCCAGGCTGGTAGCCAGGCGTGAGACAATTGCCGCTTGAAGGATGGTTCAGCCGTATGGGAAAGGGGCGGCGACTGGGCGGAGAGGAGGGATTGTGAATAGAGGTGATAAGGGTAGAGAGTATTGGACGAAGAGGGGGATAGAAGATAACGTTGGAAGAAGGCTTTTTATGACAGACGTTAGGGTCAATTTCCAATTCAAGCGTAGTGTAAAAGCCGTACACGAGGTCCNGATTACCTTAATAGGGTGCATCAATTTCCTAATGCAGACTTGCCGTCTGATTGTTTACTATATTATTATTTTAGTAGATCTTTATAACTTTTATACTATACTTTCTCTTAATAGTTATAATAAACTTTTAATTACTCTTATAATCTTACTTACTATTTTAAATTAAATATTATTATTATATAGCTTATCTAAGAAGTATTCTTTTATAATTATTACCTATTTCTTATATATTCTTCTAGTAGATATATTAAAAAGATTCTCTAATATATAGAGGAAGAGTTAAAGTAATTTCTTATATAGCTATCTTAAGATTACTTATAAAGTATACGCTCTTATATAGTACTTCTATTTAATTCTTTTTATACTAATAATCTTAGTATTTTATATACTACGCGCTAATATATAAAGTTTATACAGAGGGGTGACATGAAAAAAACGTGTTACTAAAAGTTCTAGTTTTTAAACTAGTATAACTCGGTGGATATTAGAGCTATTCCTAATCGGGCTAGCTCATTTTAAAGCTAAGAAGTAGTAGT